AAGATCTTCAAAAGTGAAAGTGCAGTCAATGTGATGAGTTGAAGTTTAATTCATGAACTTTTTAACCAAGTGGTAATAATATAACTAGTTACAGTGAACTAAATTTTAAATTTTAAATTTTAACATTTGTATTTTTAACTTATATTTTATAAGAAGAACTTGACACATATTATTGAGCGTGGACCTGAACAGGATACAGGATCAAAATAAGTGGAAAAACGAATGTGATTGCGTGTGATTGTGCAATTGTGTTCGTACACCTGAAGATGACCTCTTGAGGTCGAAACATGTAGTGTGACAGTAAATAAAAAACGTGTTGTGTGGTCGGTAAAATTAACTCTAATGTTGATTAAATACACAACAGGATGCAAGAAACAATTAAAAGTCAGTAAGTAGTATAGTTGTATCATCAGTAAATAATACGACCTTGGCCTCATGAAAAGATTGGAGTAAATCATTTATGAACAATAAAAATAATAGGGGTCCTAAAATAGAACCTTGTCGTATGCCATGTTCTCTAGCTTCAACAACATAAGACATGAAACCAGCAGGAATTTAAGGAATAAAAAGAGGGAATATCTGACAGACAAAATTGATGAGCTTGCAATGGACAGAAAGAACAAGAACTTTAAAGACTTGAAAAGAGGAATATATGACTTTAAGAGGGGTTACCAACCTAGAAGTAACTTAGTGAAGCATGAGAATGGTGATCTGCTTGCAGATTCCTACAACATTTTGAATAGGTGGAAGAACTACGTCTCTCAGTTATTGAATGTATATAGGGTCAGTGATGTTATGTAACCGCACCATTGAAATCCTTCCCCGTTTTTTTATTTCAGTAGCTGATAGAGTTAATAATAAGAATTTATGAAGAAACAAAAGTTTAAAACACACTGTAAGAACAAGGAATAGGCAATGAGCAGATAGACCAAACTTGCGCGGACAAGGACATTTGCTATTCCTTGCGTCCAAGCATCTGGTGTTATTTTCCAAAAGGGCAGAAAATGATGCTTCAAGAAACCCCACTGAGTTTCTTTAGAAATTGAGAATTAGACTTACAGCGGCAAGCCACTTTGAGAATTCGAGAAGTGACAGTTTCTACTAGCCGTAAGTCAAAAGTGAGAGTGGCAGGAGATCATTAGCGACCCCTCATAAGTTGCATGGCTGCCAATTTCGCTGTTTGGTCTTTTAGGGCAAAATTCCCTTAAAAACAATCGGTCATTGGCCGGAACCAAAAATTAAGCCTACTCTCCTTATTTGAATCAGCCTATCAGGGAACTTAGGAGGAGAGGAGAATAGGCAGATACAACTCAACGAGGACCTCTGGCTCGGCAGAGAGTTCAGTCTAAGATTTTAGTTGTCTGTCAACTTTCGAAATTTGCGGAGGCAAACCCCTCATCACATGCACTGAAAGATAATTCTAAGAAGTACAATTTTTTCCCTCATAACGACTCATATTGAGATTTAGCCTGATCCATAAGAGGACGGCTATAAGTTAAGCTGATCGAGTGCATTTTTGTGTAAGTGTAACACCAGCTGCTTGTAAGCTGAAACTAAATCAGATTGTGAGAATTTACGCAGCCGAGTGTCTTTCAGAAGAACATNCAGATCCCATCATGAAATCCAACCCCCAATAATCCCAACGGAAGGAAGAAGCGGTGGAGCCGGGTCAAGCCGAAACCAGCTACGACCCAGCAACTTCAGCAGCGGCAACAACAGGTAAGGCAGCGTCAAAGTGGTCATCGGAGCAGAGGGGCCGATCGCCATATACTCCTACTCCCTGCACTACTATTCAGACGGAGCTGAAGGCGGAAGGGCACTAAGAGGGCGGTTATAGTTAGGCAGATAGAAATGCACACAACCGAGCCACTAATATCTGATCTCAGCCCTTTTGAGGCTGATATTGCTATTGCAAAATTTAAAGGTATAAATCGCCAGGTAGTGATCAAATTCCAGCAGAACTTGTTCAAGCATGAGGTGAAATATTACATTCTAAGATCCATAAGCTAATTACTTCTATTTGGCATAAGGAAAAATCGCCTGATCAGTGGATGGAATCTATTATTGTACCAATTCACAAGAAGAGTAATAATGACTGTAGAAATGATCGGTGTATATCACAGTTATGAACTTCATACAAAATGTTATCCAATATTCTTGTCTCAGTGTTAAGTCCATACATAGATGAAATTATTTGGGATTATCAATCTGGTTTTCGACGTAAGAGATCAACCACTCATCAGCTCTTTTACATTCTTCAGATAACTGGAGAAAATGGGAATAGAATAAGAGTACATCAGTTATTCATAGATTTCAAGATAGTCTATAATTCAGTTAAGAGGGAAGTTTTTTTTCCTTGTCGCTACAGGCCCAGTGGGTCTAAGCCAACCTCCGTGAACTTCTCCGTTCACTTCGGTTTTCCTAGATCTTACACGTTCGGTAGGACTCCTTGGGCGGGTGATCAGCTCGTCGCAAGGCCTCTACTTGTACACAAACATAGAAAAATGCACACACAAAGTAAACATCCATACCCTGCGTGGGATTCGAACCCACGATCCAGGTTTCAAGCGAGCGAAGACAGTACATGCATTAGACCGTTCGGCTACCGTGACCGGCTAAGAGGGAAATATTGTACAATATTCTTGTAGAGTTAGGGATATCCATGAAACTAGTCTGGCTGATTAAAATGTGTTTAAACGAAACGTATTGTAAAGTCCGTATAGGTAAATATTTTCTGATAATTTCCCTATTCTGAATACTTTATCACCACTCCTTTTCAACCTTATCTTAGAATATGCCACTGGGAAGGTCCAGGATTACCAGGTGGGACTGAAATTGAATGGGACACATCAGCTGTTGGTCTATGCTGATGTGAATATAATAATGATATAGTAACCATTAAGAGAAACATGAAAACGTTAATTGACTCAAGTAAGGAGTTTGGTCTAGAAGTAAACACAAAGAAAAACCAAGTATATGTTGCTGTCTCGTCACCAAATTGTAGAGCAAAATCATGACATAAAGATAGATAACAGTTGAAGAAAGCAGTCTTCTGGGATTTGGCACCGTGTATATGTGGTGTTAACCGACGTTTCGGAGGAACGTATCGCCTCCATCTTCAGGGTAGAAGAAAAAATATATAAGAATCTGCAAGCAAAGAGACCGTGAGAACCGGTAAAAACAGACCGGTTCTCAGGGTCTCTTTGCTTGCAGATTCTTATATATTTTTTCTTCTACCCTGAAGATGGTGGCGATACGTTCCTCCGAAACGTCGGTTAACACCACATATACACGGTGCCAAATCCCAGAAGACTGCTTTCTTCATAGTCACCGCCGTGAAAGCCTCAAATCTTACATAGTTAACAGTTGTTGTGGAACAGTTCAAATATTTGGAAACAACGATAACAAACGAAAACATGATTCAGGAGGAAGTTAAGAGGAGACTGAACTCGGGTAATGCTTGCTACCATTCAGTCCAGAACCTTTTGTCTTCTCGTTTGCTGTCCAAAAACATAAACATTAGAATATACAAAACTATAATTTTGTCTATGATTCTGTACTAAAATTTGTATCTTGTCTTCGAATTTGAGATCTTACAATATCCACTAATAAAGAAAAACTTTCAATGCTTATTCTGTGAAATGATTTGCACAGTTCTGTATCCTGATTAAATTATTTCGAAACAATATAAACACCTGAGTTTAAATTGTAGAGAAAGAACAGGTGCACCCAATGTTTTCGTTTCTCCTGTATTCTCATCTCACGCCGTCTGAACCACCACCATATCATTACAGGAACAATATTACCTGACATTGCAGAGGAGAAGTGCACGAAATTAGCGGGCAAACGCACCCACTTGAGATGTTATGAGCAACTAATCGAACGTAAGTTTCCTCAGTGTGCGCCTGCTAACTTGGAAACCAGTTGCCTGCTTGAAATCGGCGATATTTCTCGGAAATCGCGGTTGCCAGTTTCCTTGGTGTGCGCCCGGCCTAAATGTTTACTGGTAACGAAATTGAAGTTGCGTGCCGGTTGCCAGGTTGCTTGGTGTGTCCTCTCCCAACATTGCTCTTTGCGTAGGATAACACGGCTACCGATTGCTACCGTCTGCAGCGGTCCGCAAGGTCTGCAATTTGCGCTCTTCGAATGCGTCAGTGCTGAGAACTACTATTCACACGAAAGTGGTGGAAACTGTAGTCGAATTTAGGTTATGGCTAAATGTGGCTAACGACAATTTCGGAAGTTATACGCACGTTTATGGCGTCTAGGAATTAACAACTGTTGTGGAATGTAAGACCCTGCTCCTTCCTGCTCCAAAATCTGTGTTCAGTTACCTGTTGGAGGATACTGAAATCTGAACTGAGTTGTTTGTTTAATCTGTATTTAATTGTTGAGTTTTTAAATTGTTTATGATGTCTTTATGTTTTTGTTTTTGCATTATGTCGTTAAAAGTAGATCTTTATGGCAGAAGTAATACTGAATGGGAATTGTTGATTTCTTAAAACTTGATATTGATCAGAACACAACGGAAAACCATATGTATAATCACATAGGAAACAAATTGAAATTTTTTTCTTGTTGGTTCCTTGATTTATATTGGCTTGGTAAAGGTACTTCATTGGTAGTTGAAAGCACAATATCTTATTGAGGGTATTATGAATTGTGCATAATTCTTGCATTACAGTGAAGTTCTAAATCACACAATTAAAAAATTGAAAACGTTAGAAAATGAATTGCATAACAGTATACCAATCGATGCTGTACAGTTGCAGTATTCACAGTGTTGTTAATAACCACCTTAATAAAGGAAAACGCTACACTGGGCCTAATTTGTGTTATAACTGTTAGGGAATGCTTGCTATCATTAATTTTAGAATCCTTTCTCCATCTGCTATATAAAAAGGTATAGATTAAAATATATAAAACTTTACTTCTACATGTAAGTTTTGAGGTTTATATAATACTTCTACATGTTTTGTGTGGGTGGAAAACTTGGTTTTGATCAGTAAGGGAAGAATATAGTTTAAGGGTATTTGAGAAGAGGTCGCTAAGGAGAATAATTGGCCCTAAGAGGGTGGATGTGGCAGGAGGCTGGAGAAAGTCACATAATGAGGAAGAAAACATTGAACCACAGCTGTTGACAAATAGTGGCATGCATAGTTCATGTGTAGGAAGATTCACTGTCACAGGTAGCGTATAACATGTGACAGTGCTACAAAAGCTCAGAGAATACTGATGACTGGAGAGAGATGAATCGTGCATCAAAAACTGGGATCAGGTTGCAACATGTTGTGCAGCAGGTTCAGTGAAGGTGTCCTGAGTGTCTGCAATGCCATGGTGTTATGGTCCAGAATGACATTTTGTCCTGTGTTAGGTACAACATCATGAACCAAGTATGTTCCTTTTGAGGAAAGATAATTATATTTTGTGAGAAATTGAAGGTCAAATATTCCATGAAATGACACAAACCAGAACTACTTCATCTAAATGTGAATTATATATTCATTAGTTTTAAAATGGACCCCATATGAACATTATAGCTTGTGCAGAACAGAAGGTATTTTAATTTTTCAGTGGAGACAGTGGAAAAATCTGCAATTCTTTAAAATTTTTGCACCTCTGTGTCACAAAAACTGCAAAATATAAGGTATTGAAATTTGAAAGAATACTGTTTTCTGTGGAATGTATAAGCTCACTAGCTTTCTTGGAAATCCCAGAAATGCATATACTTCTGGGTAGGAAACCCAAAAGGAAGAGTCCCTCTGGAAGGCAAAGATGAGAGATAATTTTAATGTGGATGGAAGGAAGGTGGGTTCATGTGGTCTGGATACATTTGTCTTAGGGTAAGTTTCCAGTGGCATGCACTTGTGAACATGGTAATGAATCTTTGTGTTGCATTAAATGTAAGGAATTTATTGAATAGATGGGCCCAGAGCAAAGTTTGGAAGCTCCTGGAAAATTTTGGAAGAGAAATATGGGGCTCAAAACTAAGTAATTATATTCTTCACGTAGGCAACAACAAAGGGTAGAAAGCACAGATCTGATACTTTCCCCCTCCCATTCATTTTTGAAGGGCACAATTGACTTCTTTCCCCAAATCGATAGGTAAGTTTCAAGATTAATTAGACCTAGAGGAATTAGAGTAAAAACTTGTAATGATATGAATTGTAGTCCATATCATGAGGAACAAATTGTTTTTTTTTTATTGGAGTCTCTAGCATCAATAGTTATCGAGATATAGAAGGTAACGCAAACCTCCATTTCAGCCGAAAACACGTTTTTTAGTATTGTAGAGACGGCTGTACCGGGAGAACCGAGTGGATTTAATTTTTCTAAAAAATATTTTGAAGTACGGAAATATGTAGAAATAAGTGTAGAAAATAGAAATGTTTTTAAAACTTGTCGACTGACCTATCTGGATGAATTCACATGGAATGAACCATGAGTGATACCTAACTTCTCAGAAAGTACTCTGCTCCATGATGTTAGTTAATACATGTATAATAAGTACGGCGTTGTAAACATTTGCATATCGTTTTCAAGAAATTAACATATTGTAATTCATGTGTTCGACCGACCAAGCGACCGCCGCTTGTCGGCGAAAGTTAATGCCAAGTTTTGCGGATAGAGGATGTCACGTCGTCAGCGCAATGAATACCCACGGCCATTAATTTCGGTTTTCTAGACCAGAGCCACTGTTTCCTTGAAATAGCTCCTCAGTTATCCTCAGGAGGCTGAGTGGACCTTGTTCCAGACCCACTACTACTCAGGAAATCTGGTAGCGCCGGGAATCGAACCCGGGACCTCTGGATCTGTAGCCAGGAACTCTGACCACTAGACAACAGATGCGGTCGTTATAGTTCGCTTGCAGACTACAGGACACGGAGTTTGTTTTTGTTGTTTGATTCATATGTTCATTGCTAAGCAACGGCTCAGTAAACAATTCTGTGTAAAGGAAAATTCTATTTAAAAAGCCCATTGCTAGGTAAAGCCTACAACAATACACAACAACAGTAGTCCTCCATTTCTAGGCAATGGATGCGTTTCCTATGGAGTCCGCCATGAGGGTATATAACAATGAGTGAGTCTGGCTTCAGAAGTTCAGTTGGAGTAGAGAGTAATAGATCAGAATTGAGTGAGTCCTAGGCAGTCAAGGAGGAAGTGTTTGAAGATATATTGTGAGGTATTGTAATTTATTGTGATTATGAGTGATTGTACAAGGTGTGAACAGTAAGCCCGATTACCCATACACGTGACAATATAAAGAAACTTATAGTGCAGTAGTACAGCACTGTTTTCTTTTATGTAATTGTCATACCCAGGTCATTGTGCTTGTAGTATGGCAAAGGGTTAAAATAATTTCTGTTAACATTATTTTAATACTGAGAGTTTCTAGGTTACATTACTAGAGAAACCACAATTTGTGAGGAAGAGCTGAAATTCGGTGAACATTTAATCCTTTTATTACAGAACTGCATGTAATATTTCAGCATTGTTTCCCTTGATTATGATTTTTGAGCAGCTGCAAATTGTGCTGTGGATGATGCTGGTATTGAAATTCATATATAGGAGGGTCTGGAAAAATTGTTTTAGTATGTACTTAGCATTTCTTAAATTCTGGGCTGTAGAAATTCAGTAATTTCTGTGTTCATTCTGTACAGTATTGAACCAAATTGCAGCATTGCATTGTTGACTAGTTAGTTAATTCATAGACCCTTTAACAGCACTTTGTTACCTCAGAGATTTTGCAAGGATGTCACTTGAAAGTCTTCAGGCTTTAAAAATCTGAGACTGTGATGCATATGTGTAGAATTCTGTGAGTTCCATCCACCAATTTCAGATTCAGTTGTTACAAGTCATTTTGCCATTTTGGCAGTATGTTCCAGCTTCCAGTGCCAGTTTCTTTTTCATCTCCAGCTGCCAAAGAATGGTTTGGGCAGCACCATGAGAATGTACGACCATGGATTCTGTTTATCAACACAAGAAATTTCCACACCCCTTCCAGCCTTTCACATCTCGCAAAGAGGATAGCGAGAAATGTGGAGTACTTTCAAACCAACTACTTCTTTGTGTTGCTTGGACTGATTTTTTATTGCCTGTAAGTGATTGTTTCCAGTGATGACAAAAATCCTTGTGAAATTTACTAATGGTTCATTTGCTTCATGTTAAAATTTGTTGTAAGCAGTATAGGTGATATGTTATTTCCAGAATTACATCACCACTTCTGTTGATAGCTGTTGCTGCAAGTTTGGGTGTGTGCTACATCTTGTCTATGAAGAATTCAGAATGGAAAATCACTGTATTTGCATACGAACTAACATTGGCCCAGCAATATGGTCTTGTTGCTGTGTGTTTCCTACCACTTTTCTACATAGCAGGAGCAGGTGCAGCAATGTTTTGGGTTCTTGGTAAGATTGTGTTTAATGCATCTTACAGCAAAAGATTATAGTAGCAACAGAGAGCAAATCATTTCTTCTTGGGGTCAGATCTTTAATTGAAATTCAGCAAATTCATTTTCAGTCTTGTAGGAACCTTTTATCGTTCCAGATGGAACTAAAGGCAATGGCATTTCATCCTTAGAATGAATTAAAACAAACATTTTCCCCACTTTTTCATTTAATGATATTCTGACGTTTACTGCTTTTAAATTAAACCATTTGTTAAAGAATAATATTCAGTAGATTCATAATGTGAGGTTATCAGAATATTTGTAGTGCTTTGGTGTTATGAATTTGATTGGGGAGGTAAGGAATTTGACAAAGGGCTTACTGTCTTACAATTTTCAAGTTCTGACACCACATTCTCAACATCCGATAAGTTTATTTACTCATTTTAAGTAGATTTTATGACAACAGGTGTGAATGTGGTACTTGGTTGATTAGAGCATATTCAACTGTGTGCCTTTTTTGCAGGAGTGTAAGGAGCAAATGGAAGGTTGGTGATTTATTTTCTGTTTGTGTTCAGGTACATCAGTATTCATCATTACACTGCATGCTTCATTTTACAACATTGATGCAGTTTTAAATCTAGAAGATGAGAAAATGGATGTGCTGATAGAAGATGTGTAACTGGACACATCTGTTCCAAATTAAGGCTTGTGTAGGGTTTTATACCAGACTCACGTAAGTTACATCAGATTAGGAAGATAATCAACATCATTTTTTGTTTTATTTAGATATGTGTAAACTGTGGGTTAAATTATTCTTTATTAAGTGAAGTGATTTGTCAAGTTTTATATTTTACTTTTACATTAATATGGAACATGCTTCAGAGCAGTATACTTCATCTGCTGTTTGGAGAAATACAAAATTGTAGGATTAACAGATCTCTGAAGAATTGTTTTTGTGATTACTGATCTTTCCTGCCCTAATTTAAATTATCTGTACCCTGACACTCTCAAATGAGTTTCTTTAAATGCTCTTCCTGCTCTTTTTGTTCAATTTATTTACATTCCATAAATTCAGATACATGTAGACACCATAGGATATGGAACAAGTCAAACACAGTATAAATAATTAATTACTTACTTGCTCATGGAGCTGAGCCCTTCTGGAGGAGCTGCCAATTCTGCAGCTACTCAAGAATTTCCCAGCATTTTATGGAACCTGAAGGTTCATTATCGTGTTCACAAGAGCCCTCCACTGGTCCCTATACTGATCCAGATCAATCCAATCCATACCATCCCATTGTATATCTCTAAGATCCATTTTAATATTGTCCACCCACCTATGCCTTGGTCTTCCCAATGGTCTCTTTCCTTCAGGCTTTCCCACCAATATCCTAAATGCATTCCTCGTCTCCCCCATTTGTGCTACATTCCCTGCCCACCTCATCCTCTTTTGACTTGATCATTCTAATTATACTTGGAGAAGAGTACAAGTTATGAAGCTCCTCATTGTGCAGTTTTCTCCAACTTCTGTCACTTCATCTCTCTTCGGTCCAAATATTCTCCTCGACACCCTGTTCTCAAACACCCTCAGTCTATGTTCCTCCCTTAACCCTTTGACGCGGTAATTTAAATTCCGCGGCTGCGTCTCCTGCGGTAATATATTCAGCCGGCCATTTAAATTTTGCTCGAAAATTATTTATTCATCATTGTTCTTAAATTCTATGAGATAGGAACATGAAACTTTCACTAAAATGATCTTAAATGGTGGTTTTATAACCTTACCTTATAATATGAGCGCCCT